GACTTTGGGCCGAACAATGTCAATCAGACAGCGATACTCGCCGACAGTCCTAGTTCACAGTCACTCTTGATTCCTGTCGGTCGAACTCAGCAACAAAGTGAGGCATATGCTCCACCACCCGTTGACGAGAACAGTTTCACCCCATGTACTACTGGGACACCTCGAGACACTGCGTCGGATCTGCTGGCTACCAACCTCCACACAAGCAATCTGGAGTTCTATGGGTCGGCCTCATCGGTCGCATTTCTCCGTCATGTGGAAACGCTATCGAATTGGCAGACAGGTCCTTTAGCTGGACCGCCAGAACGATCGTTGACTGCACGTTTGCACAACACTGATTTCCAACCCAACATGTCGCACAGTATCCCTGCAGCACCACGAGAGGACAATTCGACCACGGATCGATTCTATTTCCGTGTGGCGAGGCAATTCCTTGATGCTTACTTCTCTAACATCCATTACATCCAGCCTCTGTTCGAAGAAGAGGTGTTTCTCGCTCGTTGCGAAGATCTGTGGTTCAACAGACGAGATAAACAACCACTATCCTTTGTCGCTCTTTATTATGCCACTTTGAGCTTGGGCAGCCTCGTCATGACTTTCGAAAACCCCAACATATCTGGAGCGGATCGATTCACGTGGAGCCGCAAGCTGTTCAACGACGCTCTTGCTATCGTCACCAAACTTGGCACAGCAACAGATGTTGAAATGGTCCAGTGTTTCTATATGATCGTAAGCTATCATCACAGCTGGCGGCAATGTCTCCAAGCGCTAACAAAAACGGGTGAGCGAAGAGCAAAATATGTCAGCACGAGCTCAATCCTCACGGTACGCGGCCCTATCCTTACTCCTTGTGTTGTCCACGCTCACACCTCTCCTTAGTCGCGTATCTATATTCCGGTCAAGCAGCAAGAACCTCATTGGCAATTGGGATCAACCGAAGCCCTGTCAGTCCAGATGCAGCTGACCCGCGGGCCTCAGCCGCATCGTCAAAAACGTGGTGGTAGGATGTCCTGAGGCTTAATTCTTATGTCACCAAGTCGCTAAAGCTGAGTAGGGCCGTATACTGCCTTGACATGTATGGTGAGTCAACTTCAAAGTAGAGCGCAGGACTGAGAATGGATAGACAGACGAGCTTTGCTTTGGGGAGGCCTGATAGCCTCGGTCCTGACCAATACCACACACAATATCTTCCCCCTGCGGTTTTAGAAGAATCAATTTCGAGTCCCCACGTTCTGCAGATTGTTCCATGCATGGTTGACTTGTCGCGAATTATGCGCAAAGTGGCACTCAACTTATACGCACAGCCATGCGAAATGGAACAAAAGCTCCAACGAGCAAAAGCACTCGACGCCGAGTTGGGTCGTTGGCTCGAACAAGTTCCCCCACACCTTCGGCCTGAGCAACAAACTGAATCAGGTCTCTCCTTGAAACCGCGGCGCCTCGCCAGCTACATCAAGAAGCAGTCTGTCGTGCTACGACTTCGTAAGCATTGGGGAGAAAGTCAGCTTCGAACCCAGCTTATTCTGACCAGTGTGCAGGCTATCTCAACCTTCGCATGGTAATCCATGCCGTATTTATGACTGATACGAAGACAGCCGAGTCAGGCGAGGCCTCGTCCATTCGAGAATGCAGATGCCGGTGTATCCAATCGGCAGAAGAAACAATCGATCTAATGTACTCAACATTTCGCACAGATGACTATTTTCAGACCTGGTATGCCGCCTCTGTATTCCCAGTGACACAAGGGAAATTCATTCCACAATTCAACTAACCCTTCTTAATCGTTTTTTCCAGGTGGTACAACTCAACCTATACACTGTATGCTGTTAGCATACTGCTTGCCCTAGTCTTTCGTCAGCTTGCAAGAACTCGAGAAGCACTCGAGAATCTTTTTGCCCACATTGACCGTGCGATCATGGTACTCCAGGCTATGGATGACTGTTTGGTCGCCAGAAGTGCCACAGCCATCATTAAGCGAACACTCGCCCGAGCAAAGAAAGTCCCCCAGCCGGCCCTGGTAGCATCACAATCCTCGTCTTTCCAGGATACGGACCTCGATGACGCGCTACATCCTCTGGCCTACGTGGAGAGCGAAAGAGTCTCTGACAAAAGTGATACACTGCTACAGTCCCAGGAAATCGAAAGTGATGGTCTTGGTGAGACTGTGGGCGACCTTGATTGGCTTAACACCTATCCTTTCGATGACAGCCAGCAGGCTTTGTTCTGGACAGAGTGGGCTCATGAGATCGATGCTCTGGGAACATAGTATGAAGGATCTTATCACCATACATATTCGACTATCATCTAGAAGGCATGGCCTGATCTGCTTAGCAGATAGCATTTTGGCTTTCTGAATATAGCGTGCACCAATTAGCTCCTATTTCAATGCTGCCTAGTTCCTTATCTAGCCGGATTACCAGAGGCAAGAGACAGCACAATTGAGGAGGGATACTGCGGCCCGGAGTGGACAACATGTTTGCCACGGTTGAGATTTCCAGGAACACGATCTAGGGCAGGGAATTCTGGCAGCGTCACCTCATGGCCCTTTATCTCTAGCCGGACGGACTCTCCAGGTTCGAAAATGATGCCAGAGGGCCACAGGGGGATGTCGAGGCAAACAACCTGACCCGGAACAATCTTGTCTTCGCTGTCATGAGGATGCCACGCCACCGCTGGGGCCAGCATCGCGGTCTGCTCCTTGGTGAGAGTCGGGTCAGCGCTTAATTGCCGGTGAGACGCTCGAAGTCTACCATTCGGGCCCAAGTACTTAAAAATGTTGAGATTTGGGACGTCTTCCGCCTTGGTCCCTGCTGGGAGAGCATCGAGAGGAATGTTTATCTGCACCAATGGCTGACCGCCTGCGTCGAGTTTTCGACAGACGACGTAGACGTCTAGATCATCAGCTTCAGCGCAGGACATATACAATTTGACCTGGGAGTAGCCGATTAGTTCGGTATAGGTGCTGAATTTGTGAACGAAGTGCGCGCCGTCGTCATCCCAGGAGTCGGATTGGTAGGCAGTCGAAGAAGCCTCGCCGGGAGCACCGCCTTCACTCATCGTTGCAGTTTTGGCATCCAAGAAGAAAGTTCGGTGCTTGACGTAGCTGGGTGGGTACACAGGTTCAGGTCTGTTCACAATACATTCACGATTAAAACCGAGCAAGCTGTGCCGCACTTTAGGAGTGGACTCCCAACCATTGACCTTGCCGTAGAGATATCGATCGAAGAATTTTTGCAGGTCATCGATTGTCCATTTCTGGTACATATCATACCACTCCTGAGTGTGGTGGATACGGAGCCTATTCTCGTAAGTTAGAAATGTTAGCTCCAACCCCACGAACCTCGGAAACAGCGGGCACAACGGACCATTTCTCTTTGGATGACGAGAACAAGAAGCCCCTGATGGTGCCTTCGGTGTGTAGCATCGTTGAAAAGCTCGCCAAAGCGTAAATGGGAACATCGATTTGAGCGAACTTTGCACTTTTGTCTTCCCAATACTGGTTCCAGAGCGGATACTGACGGGTCATAGCACCTGTATCCTCCTGCCGGTTCTTACCTGACATTGGGAAGGTTTAGCAATTTGACGTGGTGCCAAAGAATATGAGTGAGTGTCTCGCACCACAGTAGCCGCTCCCTCGATAGTCAACAAAGGCATAGTTCGGGATGCCGCCTCTGCCAAGCAGTTCACGATAATAATCTGCAATGCCCTCCCAGGGAGCAATGGCTTTCAGATGAGGTGGTCGTTCTGCAGCAATAAACCTGTAAGACGAATTAGCTCTGGCCTCTCTAGTAGGGGTAAAAAACCCCCCTCTCTTGCTTGCACGTACCACTGGGCGGCAGCTAGATACGAGTTGCCGGCAAAAGCAACGGCCCCGTTACACCACTGCTGAGCAGCGATGAATTCAACGGCATCGTATCCATCCCTCCCCTCCTAGATTGCAATACTCGTTCAGCTTGATAGTTCACACCTAGATATGTTCAATTCCCGGCATGCTCACTTGCGTTCCTAGCATATACATGTCTCCACCAGAGTCGAATACGCCACGAGAATCCACGTTGACAACCGCATAACCTCGAGGACACCATTCCGCTGGGTCTAGACCCTCGAATTTTTCGAGGTCACTCGTCCAATTTCTTGGTATACCAGCCCGCCAGGGGACCTTATCAAGGCTCTGGAAGCCTCAAAAAAAGACTCAGCGTGTTGAAGGGTAGAAAGGGGATAAGAGACGCACCATTTCCTTGCTTTCCATAAGGACTCCATGCCAATATGGCCGGAACAGGTTGACTGTCCGACTGCACAGGTCGAAATACATCCGCCCAGATTATAGTACCGTCTCGAAGCGGGATACGAATGTCTCTCTCAAACAACAGGTCTTCGTCCAGTGCACGTCTTCCTTCTGCTTTCCGCCATCCGTTGGCGAGAATTTGTTTGGAGGGACCAAATTGATACCAACGCTGGCTGAAGTTGCGATTTGCTTCTTTGAAGAGGATCTCGATGCCGCCGACATTAGTCGCCATGCTGTCACTTGGTGAGACTTCTGAAGGTGCCTCTACCCAATGCCACACGCCGATTAAGCTTGAATTAATCTGCAATTGGTCTAAATACAAGTATCTAAAACTTTTCACAAGTGCTCATGAGCCTTTCCGGTCTGGCCCAAGGCATGGGCCGACCTATCAACTCTCGGGATGGATTTCCAAGCAAGCAGCCGCCGGGGCATTAGTGCCGGTGGAAGACCCGGCGGTTGCCTATTTCAGACAGTTCGCTCTGGGTCCACTTTTCCCCGCAGGGGATTCCATTACTGAGTACAAACATCCAGAAACCACAATGACGGGGATATTAATGGGATGCTATCCCTTCTCGCTAAAATTTCTTGTTGAAAATGAAAATCCTCTGTACTAGATCTCCTCTTTTTGGTAAGACACTATTTAGTGCCCCCCGTTTTGCAAAATCTCAAAGCCCAATCCATACCAGAAATCCAACCACGCAACCCGCTGCTAGCCATGGCTGACGTGCTCGACCATACGGTCCAGCCAATCATGAAAATCGATTCAAAAAGCCTTGGCCAGTATGAGCTTGAGGAAGCAGAGGATGTCGATTTGTCGGCTCCGAACACAAGCTTCGATGAAGAAGTTGAGGCAGAGCTCCACGCCCGCACTTGGATCGCCCTGGCAGCCTTTTTCCTGTTGAACTACACCCAGGTTGTAGCCCTTCAGGGTCCTTCTGCTGTTGTAAGTACTAGCGGCTTGGGAGCAAAGTCTACACCTATTTCCAGACGATCATTGCTGACGGCTTTCCAGCTGACCTACATTGGAACGGATCTCCACAACACAGAAGCTCAAACATGGGTAGTTGTGGTACTTTCGCTCGTCCAGGGAGTCCTTGGGCCAATTATTTCAACAGCTTCCGACACCTTCCAAGCTCGAAAGCTGTTTCTCGTCGGCTCCTCTGTCATTTCTTTTATCGGGGCTTGCATCGCCCCTGGGTCCAGCACTATCTATCGACTCATCGGTGCTAATATCCTTATCGGTGTTGGCTTCGCATCGGTGCCCCTAGCTTATGCCGTCCCCAGCGAGATTCTGCCCCGGAGATGGCGTCCATGTAAGCTACAACCTTACTGTCTATATTCACCCCGGCTACCGAAAATCTGAGAAATGTCTTGTTTTAGTGGCGCAAGCCGGGGTCAACATTGCAGCCCTCCTTGCGACTATTTCAGGCCCTTTCACAATCGGTGCTTTGACTAAGCGCAACGCCCACACTGGCTGGCGCTTGTTTTTTGTAAGTATCGGACGTTTGCTAGCAGGATGCGCTCCGTATATAACTAACTTATTGTGACATAGTGGTTTCAGGCTGCCCTTTGGGGCGCTACCACCATGGCGCTGTTTGTGGGCTATCATCCACCTAAACGACATACCACCTTTGACCATCTCTCCTTCTGGAGCAAGATAGGCCACATCGATCTGATCGGCTGCGGGCTTCTCGCAGCTGGATTGGCTCTTTTTATCACAGGTACTAGTCTCGGAGGCGGTCTGTACAGCTGGACCAACGCACGAACTCTATCAACCATTATCATCGGAATCCTGACGCTCATCGCTTTCGGTATCTATGAGTGGAAGGGGACGAAGACTGGCATGCTTCACCATGATCTATTCCGTGGTGGCCGCAACAAGGGACGAACATTCGCCATCTGCGTCGCATTGCTCTTCATGGAGGCTGTCATGATTTTTGGCTTTGGATTATTCTATCCGATCCTGTTAGGTTCACGGTTTCGATGTCCACGGTGTCAACATGCTGATTTGAACATAGGTCACAAGTTCTGTTCACAACTGATCCCGTCCTGATTGTCGCTCGTTTACAGGCATGCTGGATTCCCGCCATTTTCTCCACCGTTTTCTGGGGGTATACCAGTACTCGCTTCCGAACTATTCGCGAACCACTGCTCATCGGATTTGTACTCTTCACTAGCGGCTTGGTGGGACTTTCTACAATTCAACCAGGACAATCTGTCAATGCCATCGCATTTTCTTGTCTCACTGGTATCGGATTTGGCGCCCCACTCATTCTCATCGTTACCGGTGTTCAGCTTTCCGCGCCGCACAAATTAATTGCCACGGCTACGGCATGTACAACCTCTTCACGCGCCATAGCTGGTGCCGTTTTCTCAGGGATCAATGCGGCTGCCTTCAACACTCGCCTGAAGAATTACTTGCCAAAGTACGTCGCAAAGGCTGCTTTGGCTGCTGGACTGCCTACCGCATCCCTTCCGGCGTTCATCCAAGCCCTGACTGAAGGCGACACTGCGGCGCTGGCCCAAGTCTCCGGTGTCACTTCTACCATCATTGCCAAAGGAGTTCGCGCTTTGCAGCAGGCGTTTGCAGACTCCCTCCGGATTGTATTCATCATTGCAGTTCCATTTGGAGTAGTCGCCTGTATCGCCTGCTGGTTCCTAGGCGATTTAAGAGAGACGATGAATTACCGCGTCGACGCACCGGTCGAGGAGTTGCACGCACAGGCAAAGCGAAGCCACCACATAGTGACATCATGATTTTCCCCCAGATGTAGCTGGAAGGGAGAGGGGACTCAAAAGGCTCAAGCAAAACTCCGCGAGCGTTCAGGGATCACTCAGGGAGTAGCATGTGAACCAACGGAGAGCAAAGCGACGAGCGGTTAATCATAATGAGAAGAAGGAGGACACGTTCTTCCTTCGATACTATCTAGGTGTACATTTGACGCCTTTCTACGGAGTAGTTGGGTAAGACTCATACACGACCCGCACTACCTCACGACTTTTCATAGTCATAGAAGCCCCGTCCACTCTTGACACCCAGAAGACCATCATTAATGAATCGCTGCAGATACTCTCGAGGCTCGGGAGGGACGTCTTTCCGCTTTTCTGCATAGTGTTCCTCGATGTTGAGCACAACGTCAAGACCAACGACATCCATCTGCTCAAAGGGACCTTTGGGTGTCTTTAAGACGTCCTTGAAAATCGCATCTATCTCGGATGGAGTAGCCACGCCCTCCGCTGCGGTGAGCAACGCTTCCCTCTTGATTGCTGCCCAAATCCTGTTCCCAAGGAATTTTATCAGTGCTTCTGACGAGAAACAATTGAAAGCGCGGAGAGGCGATAGCAGACCTGTTGTATATGTAGCCCATGGAATCTTTCTTCACATGGAATGGACTGAATCCATGCTCCCGACACTGCTCCATAAGAAGTGGGATAATTGCAGGATCAGTATTTGCATGACCCATGAGTTCAATTGCTTGAGCAGAGGTCAGCGGATGCATTAATTGCTTCGAGCTGAACTCACCAGAGGTCTCCGGAGGCCAGTCTCGTTGAACCGGCTTGTCAGCATCTTGTCCTAATCCTGGAAATTACAAAAGTGGTGCTTACAGCAATGAGCGCTGAGGACCCGCCGGTCGTTAGACAATTTCAAGCCATCAATTATCTCGGATATGCTATAACTGCTCGAGTTGGACGCAATGATGGTGTCAGGTGTCGCCAGCTCGTCGAGCCGAGCGATCATTTGTCGCTTGAGCTCCAGTCTCTCTGGCACGCACTGACCTCGGCACATTGATCAGCTCCATGTCGACTTTTCAGCTCGTAGTTTGGATTGCGCTGCGTACCTCAACGATCAACCACGTATCTCGAAGTCCCGCGGGCAACGAGTCCGAGCTGAAAGTCTTGATTTCACCCCATCGTGCATTCGGACGCTGGGACGCAGACCGGAGGTGGTCAATGTATTTGACACTCTCAGAAAGCTGCTTCGCCTGGGCGTCAATGAGATGAACAGGCCGGCCCTGACTTGACCACTTTGTCCCAGAGCTTGTTAGTCCGGATTCGAACTCGAGGGAGAATGAGGGTGATATTCACCATGTATGCCAGACGTCGACCTTGCGTCCCTGCACCGACAAGGGCGGTCGCCCTTCCTGCTGACATTTCGGCTATGATGACTGAGTTTGACAAGGTCTAATGGGGCTTTTTAACCTTGAAGAATCTAAGACAAGGTTGCATCATGCAAATCCTTCAATACTTCCGGATCCGAAGCATGTCGCCTGGCAAAACGATCCGGAAGCGTGGGGAATTTATTGGGGAAGCCCGATGTTGGATTACCGAGGAGTTTTAGGTGGGTCCACCACTATTTACATTTGGAGGTGGCTTTCCCTCGACGTCCAGAACCCTAATCTCGTCTTATTCTAAACCGACCACACACTCGCACGGCCTTTGGCAAGAAATAATCCCGGCTAGAAACGATGAGGGAGTCATTCGTGTTACATGTACAAGGTATAAATAAAGACGAAGTGAATATCGTGCGCAAATCTTGATGATCTCAGACGAGTTGAGTACTGATGAAGATAATGGCAGGACCATCGAGTCTTTATAATGACCTTCGTCATAGCAGCTTTCCCCCTTTCGCTAGCGCTCATCTCCTCTGCCTCCCCGTACTTCCTTGAATATTGTAGCACCGACGCCCCCGGTGATAGCTTGTACTCAAACAACCTATGAAGGTAGGGTGCCTCTTCTCTGGTGCAGCTGTTCTTGCAGGTCGATGTCCTCCTTCTTCTCCTTTTCTTTTTCTTTTCCTCTTCACCTTCTTATAAAAGGGGGAGCCACGGCAGCTTCTGGCACGCCTGGCTCGCCGCATTCCCAAAAGGTACAAGCCGATCCTCCAAGAGTAGTCAAGAAAGGAATCAGCTGCCCGGGAGAGTCCAGGCAAGTGACATTCTCGACATATTTTTATAAATGCTAATCTCAATTTGTGCGATCGAAAAGCACATAATACCCACAGCCACCATCCAGCTGCAAAGTTGTTAGCCCATGGAGATGTTTTGACGATAGAGCCACCTCCATCCAAAATATTTTCAACCGGCAATCCAATGGCCTCGGCATTTCAAAACGATGCGGTTTCAGTAAGGCTAGGAATTGCCGCGTGAGGAACAACGGTGGCTAGATGAAAATCCACAACTGAAGAACGACAAGCCAGGCAGGGTCCCCCCCAACGGGCCCTGTCCACCAAGTTGACGGAACAGGAATATCAATCCGTCTGGACCGGGAGACGGTGTAAAGTACTTTGCGTCGCCATAAGCAGCAAAAGTGAACCAGGGCACTATCACAGGCGGGCCCACAATGGTGAAGAGAAATGCCGTAAAAATGATGGTCCGCCCATGCACGCCTTTCGTGAAATCCCAAACAGTTGAATACAGTGAGCCGTAGATCCCCCCGTGCAACATCTGCGTCACCAGCACGACTTCGATGGTAAAGACATAGTCGTTTCTGAAACCTATTATCAGGAAATAGAGGGCCAGGACATAATTCGACAGCAGCGCAAATCCCTTTTGGGTCTTTACTTGAGGATTGCCGGATGGCGATGCGCTGAAGCTGGACAGCTGCCCAATATACAAGGCTCCTCAAACTCCGAGTCCAAAAAGGTCTTCTAAACCCTCAGTAGTCCGAGCCGAGCAGAGCCTGAGGCGTAGAGGTGCAAACACTTGAGTCAAAGCCAGTTTTTTAGGTAGGACGATAGACAGAGACGCCCAGACAAGAGCCATGATGGTGTAGGGGAGAGTGCGCTGGCGTCTTCTACGTTGACGGTGCTGATATTCATGGTGGGGATATTGATCACGATTTTCAGAAGATGTTGATCATATGTATCGTAATTTGCGTCGCTAGAGTCCAACGCGGGTGTTAGGGCAGCATTACTGAGACCTGCCTCTGGTGGTTGACCGGGAAATGTGCTTGAGGCGAATCCTGAGCTAGTATTTGATCCAGGAGCAGTTTTGAATTCTATTCGACCCCTTGATAGTTGGACAGGCTTTCAAGGACAGTGACACTAGGTTCAGCTATGTTTTTCTGTATATAGAAGTCGAATAAGATTGGGGTTCAAATGACTGACAATTAGGCAAACAGGGGAAACTCATGTATCAAGAACAAGCAGAACATGTTTGATGCAAGAGGGAGCTGATAGATGCAGAGTTGGACGAATGTTAGCTTTTCGTCAAGGTTGTCATTCTTCACCAGAGGTCACAATTTGGCGTTCCTACAGAGATGAGAAAGGAGACCGTTCAGGTTTAAATCGATATTGGAAGGCAAGATGAGCGAGTTCTTATGTTTTCTTGCCAATCTGGACTTGTCGAGTACGTCCGAAAGCAAAACCTGCACCGCCATCTTGTATGCCAAGATTCAGCTTCCACAATCTCATGTTCATATGTGGCCGCATTCAGCTGGATAAGAATAGGACCTGGTTCGTTCGAGTCTCAGCATAAGTCCTTGGAGCATCTAGATGAGGATTCCCGTTGGGTTTTCTTTTTCTTGTTCCTGGGGGGTGGCTACAGGAGGCGCCTCTGTGCTTGCTCTATGATAGAGAAGGATCTTCAGGATTTGCGCTCATTGCTCGCAATGCACATTCCAAAAAGCAGGGATGCTGTTCGTAACGGCCACCTAGGTCGCCTATGCCGATCTCAAGCTTTGTCTATAATTAGTTGAAAGCTCGTATCGCGGAGATTGGATTATGGTTCCGAGGACATGTGAACTGGCATTATGAGGCCAAATTCAGAATCGTTAGGGATCAAGAGACGCTATTCAGGGGCAGTAGTGATGTCACGGGCTCTGGTCAACTTCAGTCGTGTGAGCCTTGTGAGCTTCTGACGAGTGGCAACATGGAACTTGAGCGGGTTGAGCATTGAAGTTGTTGCGAGGGAGGAACCCCGCACTGATACCTCGGCCGGTTAATTATCGATACAAACAAAGCTTGAGCGACCCAAGGCGGCGAGGCGGCTCAATTTGGGCATCATGATTGGACGCTGGACAGGGTTGGTTCTTCGTTTCCCCACCCTGCTTGGTTGAGACATCGGGACGGCGATCATGTAGGCTTCGTCAGGGGTGGTAGGCTAGAGCGAAGTGATCGAAGCTTTTCATGGGAGAATGTCAACACAGCCAGGCTCAACATATCCGTACCTGATATCTCACTGACAAAGTACCTACTAGGAAGGTGGTCACGGATAATATCTTTAGTATGTAGTGCACTGTACCGTACCGTGGAATTGAGTTGTTCATTGGGCACATAGGCAAGACAAAAGCACTGGTAGGACTCTACTGGGTACTCTTGCCTAGACTGCTAACCGCTTGTGAAGAGGTGAGTTACTGTTGTTTCAATAGGAATGCATTATGCCTTCTATCGAAAGGCATCCACTTTCCACAGCAGACAAAAAGGCAATCGCCTCGCATCAGCCCCGCTAACAGGCACTACGGGGCCTCGAGCTTTAGCCAATAACCCTATATTGCAAATACCTCGTGTACCTGGTTCTTGCGAGCGGCGCGGCTGGAGATCTCGTATTGTGCTACTCGCATCTCCCTGGCCACATGAGAATGGGATTCTTCCACAGAAGTGGGTCAATAAATGGATGGTAGCGGAACTGACATGGAGGATGCCTGCAGATCTCCCAAGAATTGGCAAACAACCACTGAGAAAATACTCCAGTATTCCATGGACGCGATCAAGCATTGAGATACCAGACAGTCTTCAAGCGTTGCATTCCTTGGCATCCATTGCCAATGCAGCCTCGCGCTTGTCGGGAATGCTGAAAGCATGTGGTATGCAAGGAAGACACATGGGGCGCTTGGCAAGGCCCTGAGAACATTAGATCGGAGTTTTCCAGCAGAGTGGCGGAGAGTCGATTCCGTGTGCAAAGATCCCCTGCTAACCAGATCGTTGATCTGCGATTGTGGTGGCGACCCTGCGGACATCTCTGTCCCAGGCCCCGGCCAATCCGGCTCGGCCATACCGAGCAGTCGGGAGGGGGTCTTGGCGCCAATAAGAAGAAATCCTTGGCTCCTCCTTCCTGCTCTCGCTGACAGGCTCAAGCAGGCTCAAGACGTGGAATTGCGTCAACCCAAGCCATCAGCTCGTGCTCCGCCTATCTTCTTATGGATCACAGGAGTTTCCTCTGTCTTGGAACTTCTTGGGACGTTCCCCTCTGTTACCCTATCAATGGCCTCCACCTCCGCCCAGGCTTGGCCGATTCCGCACATATGGGAGAGAAGAAGCTGTGTCTCGCCACCTTTCCACCGTGAGGGGTTGGGACACCATCCATGCCAAGGGCGCGACGCCGTGTGCTGAGACCACGTTCTGCCCTGATGGCTCTTGGCTTCAAGGATAACTTTGGAGCGAGTCTTGGACACCGGTATGGTTCTTCCGAGTTAATCCACTGATAACATGCCGCCTCAGCTCTATATAACAAGACAGTCTTCCCCCGATCCGAAGGATCCACATACTCTTTCCAGGATTGAGAAAGACTTACAATTGCTTTGTCCTTTTGTGAACTCTTGTCAGCCACATTTGGCCCATCCGACTTAAGAACTTAGAAGCATCACAATTGTTGTCACTCACCTGGAAGTGGGACTCGAATACAGTTGCTCAGCACCCAGTCATCTTCTCGATCGCCGCCTGATATGGGCAAAAAGGGTGCAAGAGCCGAACAGAACTATCCGAAGTTACCATTCTTACTCTCTGCGGATGAGATCATCATTCACCTCGAGACAAGGCTCGATTCAGGCTTGAGCTCTGCTCAAGTCCAGCAATACCAACAGAAATATGGACCCAACAGGCTCGAAGGAGATGGAGGTGTCTCCTGGTACGCCATTCTGGGGAAGCAAATCTCCAATGCCATGATTCTAGTATGTTCTAACATCAAGTGGATTCTTTTGAAGCCCGGCTGAATGTCCGTATTGTGTAGGTGTTGGTGCTCGCCATGGCACTATCGTACGGCGTGGAAGATTTCGTTGAAGGGGCTGTCATCACCGCGGTCATCGTTCTCAACGTCGTCATCGGCTTCTACCAGGAATTCCAGGCCGAGAAGAAAATGGACGCTCTGCGCTCGCTCTCCTCACCTTCGGCAGCCGTTATTAGGGATGGGAATGAAATGACCGTTCCATCTGCGGAAGTGGTTCCCGGTGACATCGTATCAATCAAGACAGGGGACACTGTTCCTGCTGACTTGCGGCTGTTCGAAGTCATGAACCTCGAATGTGACGAGGCCATCTTGACGGGCGAAGCATTGCCAGTTGCCAAAGAAGTCGAATTTGAGGCAAAGCACGGCACTGCCAAAGAAGACCTGGGACTAGGCGATCGGCTCAACATTGCGTACTCCTCCTCTACAGTCACAAAGGGGCGGGGCCGCGGTGTAGTGGTCTACACTGGCATGTCGACAGCCATTGGGGGGATAGCTGCCTCAATGCAGGGTAAACGACGCAAGCCCAATCGGTCCATGTCGAGAAAGAAGTATGGACCCATGCAGCCCGTCAAGGGCGGTGCACTGCGTGTATATGACGGCGTCCGCAAGTTCCTGGGTCTGACTGGGGGCACGCCCCTGCAAATCAAGCTCAGCAAACTAGCGTACGTCCTCTTCGGTTGCGCCATTCTCCTTGCCATCATTGTGTTCGGCGTCAACCGATTCAATGTCACGAACGAGGTCGCTATCTATGCCATTTCGACCGGAATCGCCATTATCCCGGAATCTCTGATTGCAGTCCTCACCATCACCATGGTCGTTGGCATGACGCAGATGCGGAAACGGAAGGTTGTGATTCGACAACTCAGTGCGCTCGAGGCCCTCGGTGGTGTTACCAACATCTGCTCAGACAAAACTGGCACTCTTACCCAGGGAAAGATGGTTACTCGAAAAGCATTCATTCCCGGTGTCGGCATCTACAGCGTGGAAAATTCAAACAACGCCTCTGACCCCACTGAAGGCACCATCACTCTGGGAAAGGCGCCTAAGTCTCGGCAGGAAGTCGAAGCAGAAAGACTAGCAAGAGAAGAAGCCTTCGATCGCAAACGTAGCACTGCCGGCATCTCTTTCGATTTACCGAGCGAGAAAGTGGTGCAGAAAGATGCCGAAAAAGCGTCTGTGGAACAGGATAATAACGCCGTCAGACCGAATCTGGATGTCACGCCAGAACTCCAAGCGTTCCTAGAATCTGCAGCTCTCTGCAACCTGGCCACTGTTCGTAAAGTCACCGAGGATGGGCAAGAGAAGTGGAAAACAGCAGGCGATCCGACAGAGATTGCTCTACAAGTCTTCTCACACCGCTTCAACCACGGCAAGAAAACCCTCGAAGAAGAAAACGGTTGGACTCAGAAAATGGAGTATCCATTTGACAGCTCTATTAAGCGCATGTCGGTCGTATACACCAAGGCCGGTGAGGGCCACTCCATTATCTTTACCAAAGGCGCAGTCGAACGCATCATCGACCTGTGCACGGCCGTGGGTGTAGGTGAAAACGAACAAGCCATGACCGCTTCAGTGAAGGAAGGCATCTTGGAACAGATGACGTTCCTCGCCGAGCAAGGCCTGCGCGTGCTAGCCATCGCAAGGAAATTCACGACAATGGAAATCGCTGAACACTCGGACGTTGACCGGAGTCTTGTTGAGAAGGATCTCTGCCTGCTCGGTCTCGCTGGTTTATATGATCCACCTCGCCTTGAGACCAAAACCGCCGTGCAGGCCTGCACTACCGCCGGGATCACCGTGTCCATGCTGACAGGCGACCACCCATCGACAGCGACTGCAATCGCAAAGGAAGTCGGCATCATTCCAAGGAACATGGGGAGCCTCCCAGCTGACGTGGCCGCTGCAATTGTCAAAACCGCCACGGAATTCGACAGGATGAGCGACTCAGAAATTGACGCCCTCCCCACTCTGCCTCTGGTCGTTGCCCGCTGCGCGCCCGAGACCAAAGTACGCATGATCGAGGCGCTGCACCGTCGGAACAAATTTGCAGCCATGACAGGGGACGGGGTGAATGATTCGCCATCTCTCAAGCTCGCCGACGTAGGGATCGCCATGGGTCTCAACGGCAGCGACGTGGCGAAATCAGCGTCCGACATTGTTCTCACAGACGACAACTTCGCGTCCATCGTCAACGCCGTGGAGGAAGGACGCCGGATGTTCGACAACATCCAGCGCTTCGTCCTACACCTGCTCACGTCCAACGTCGGCGAAGTCATCCTCCTCATCTGCGGCCTGGGATTCCAGGACGACACCGGCTTCTCCGTGTTTCCCTTATCCCCCTTGCAAATTTTGTGGATCAACATGCTCACATCCTCGTTCCCGGCGTTCGGGCTCGGACGAGAAAAGGCATCGCCGGACGTCATGGAGCGGCCTCCGCACGACAACAAAAAGGGTGTCTTCACCTGGGAGCTGATAACGGACATGCTTGTGTACGGGACCATTCAAGGGACGTGCTGCCTCATGACGTTCGTCTTCATCGTCTACGGGCCCGGCCCCGACGGGCTGGGGCGGGACTGCAACCGTAAGTATAACGACACGTGCGACGTCGTCTTCCGGGCCCGCGCAGCCGTCTTCGCCGAGCTGACTTGGCTGATCCTCATCTCGGCGTGGGAATTCAAGGCCCTGCGCAGGAGCATGTTCCGCATTAACCCGCACGACCCGCGCACCTTCCCCTTCTTCCAGGACATCTGGGAGAACCAGTTCCTCTTCTGGTCCGTGGTCATCGGCGCGCTCTCGGTGTTCCCCGCCGTCTACATCCCCGGCCTGAACACGTCAGTGTTCAAACACAAGGGGATCAGCTGGGAATGGGCCCCTGCCATCGTCTGCGTGTTCGTCTTCGTGAGCGGGATGGAGGCCTGGAAGTACGTCAAGCGCGCCGCCAGGTGGTTCGAAGAAGAAGAGACCGAGGGCATGAAAGTCAGACGCCACGCCCACGGCCATGCTGCGAGCGCCGCGCTGTCTCTGAGACAGGGCTTCTTCACCATGACGAGGAGCTTTACCAGGAGTAAGTCTGAAGAGAAGCAGAGGACGATGGCGACAACGAGGCGGGAGCTGAGCGACTGGAATACAAGCGGGAGACCACGGGTGTTGCCAAAAGTCAGAGAGGATGTTTGATCATGGATCGATTTGCGCCGTTGTTGCTTGTTCGCTCAATGCGTGCACATACGTATCTCACCATCCTTGGAATGAACCGTACTAGAGTTTGTGATTAGCGATAGATCCCGTCAATGACGAACCAAACTTTTTCCCTCTGCTGGATTCATAAGCTGCAACGCATTCTCGATCTGATATTGATGTCAAGGCGTCTGAATTGCTGAGACGCACGCATCCAACAGACGAGATCCCTCCAAAAGATACTCGTTGCAAGAGCCGTGAGCTGGACACTTGCGCAGAGATAAACGTCCAACCAATTAAGCCCAGTATTGACTAGTGAAGCAACAGTCAAGAGAATAAGTGAATGCCTTGTTTTACATCTGTTTGGAGCCACGAAGTCGGGGCCATCTGCAGGTCTAGAAGGAGAAATTGCCGCATTGTGTTAAGCCAATGATGCTTGTTGCGCTCTGCACGCTCATTTACAGTCCTTCGGGGATACGTGCAAGGTCCCCAAGAGCACGAATCCGAGGGAGAGGCAGATCAAATGACGCGTTATGAGCCCTATGCGCATGGGGACTGAGCGGGCCCAACACCCGTGAGGCATGTGCTCTAGGGGTAATTGGTCTTACTCATCGACGCAGGCTTTTGCACCTGACTGACTGTGAGGTGTTCTCGTCGGCAGATTGAGTCGTGCTTGTTGTGGTTTCAGGTGATTACTCTTTCCATCTCCGCCTTCGCGGCGGCAATCATCCCCTCCAGTTCACGCACATCAATCTCATGCGAATCATGCGACGCCACTGCATCCGAGGCACGCCGCACCGCCACACGTCCCTTTGCAGCCGCTTGTTCCGATAACTGAAGGATTCGGAGGATGTTCCCTGCCGACTGACAACTTAAAGTTGAAGTGAGGTTGTCGAGTTGGCCCCTAACTGCCGAGATATCAGATATCTTGCTATCGCTGCTTCCTGACGAGAGGCCGAGATGTTGGACCAAAGTCAGGGCAGCGGGGGCGACAGTATCCTTCGGTTCTGCACCGGCGGGCACGATTACTGGCTTTGCATTAGAGCGAGCGCTGGTTTCAAAACACTTGAGTTGCATGTCAAATTCGTGCAAGCTGAGTCGTCGAGATTGCAGGTTTTCTAGCTTCTTCGAAACATTGACAAGTGTTTCTGTAAGAGAGCAAAGTTTTGCGTAGACCTAAGTAGGGCTTTCATGTAAGTGTGTTCTCGATTTATCAATGAACTAGTGCCATGGACCATACCTCTTCATTGAGCCTTCGGTTGTCCTGCTTCCGCACCCGCCGGACACTCTGGAGAGCAGCATGAAGTGCGTTTCCATGTTCCTGAGCCACCACCATTCCCACGACATCATCGATCTCTGAATACAGAGAGCCTAGGTCTTCTCGAACGGCATCGACCGTACCACCAGCCACGGCCTGAGCATTACTGGCAGTGTCTGTGCCGCCGAGTGATTCCAGATACGTACGATCAAGACGATCTTTGACTGTCTTCGCACGGAAATACTGCAAGGCGCGCGTAAGCCTGTTCACTCGATCAGTTAATGCATCAAGGTTGATTGGGCATTCCTGCTGAATGCCGGAGGATAAGAGGTCATTGATCTCTGAAAGCACGCGGTCGTCTGAGTTTAGAAGTCCTGTGACCATCGCGGGAGCTGATTTGACGTCTTTGGCAGTACGATCAGACTCGGCTCGAAGATCTGACCTGAGAGCTTCGAAAATTTGTTCATTCTTGTTGACCCGTTAGCAATTGACTGGATCTTCGGCCGCGGCCAGAGGATGAGGGAAGTATACAGCGAACTTAACATGCTGGACCTTGGCGGCATACTTTTGATCGAGGTATTGCTCTTGTCGGGCTTTTCGTGCATTACCAGCCTCCTCAACGGCCCTGAGGTGTTTTAGGTGAGCATCCTGTGCGTGGAGAGTCCGAGTACGCCGCTCAATCGCCTTGGTCGAAGACTTCAATGCCTGGATGGCCAACTTGAACTCTTCATCGGTTGATGGAATCATTATTGATCTGCTTCCGTTGCAGATCGGATCCCTCCGCTCTGATCCTTGTAGCAATTGCCATCTATCCCGTTGTCAATTGTTGTTCGAAAGGGCGCGGTTGGACCAACGGACGTTTCGGTTTCCTCCCTAGGTACAGGATTCGAACCACCGACTTTGTCGTGCACCCATGGTTCCAATAGCGAGCGATCTCCGGGCGATTTAATTCCTTTGGCCTTAGGTTTGTCGAGGGGAATACTCCACTTTAGAGGCTCTTCGAGCAGTGTGTTGACCCGTGCTTCTGGCTGCATCATCAGATCGAGAAGCAAGATTTTTTATACCGCCTCTCCAGAGACATTTATGTAGCTGTTGAAAGCTTGGCAACAAAAGACAAAGACATGTGCTTGACATGGTGTCATCCTCCTTTCGGAGTCGTGGTGCCGCCGCTTTGTGCTCAACCCCCTCGGGCGAGGCGGTCCACTCACACATGTACCAAGTATATCGTTACGGAGTCTGTTTGGGGGCCAGTACCATGGCAGACGTAGCTCATCCGAATTGAAGAAGCCACTGGCAAGCCACTACCGCAAAAGCATTAACGTAAACAGGAAAGATGCCAGGGGAGAAGGGATCAATGATACTTGTCATTCCACCCCACATCAGCAACGAGCATCGCTCCCACCCGCTACTTTATCACAGCGGCGGCCGCTTATACTATTATTTGTAGATCTCAGGGGCATTCCTGATCGGTCCCAAGGTAGAAAATGGCCGGCAGGTGCCAGACAGACGCTGCCATGTCAAGAACCTGACTTCAATCCAACTGGACCCAGCGCCCTACAGGAATACGAGGAGCTCATGGTGCAAAATGTTCACAGCACCAACCCCCTTCTCGTCCGTTTTCTGATTGGGAAGGCCGAGAATTTAGAAATGTCTTCTTGGAATCCCTTGGAGCATCTCTATAGTTCAGAACGATCCGGATTGGATTGGTGCGTAAATGCTTTGGCGGCCATACATAGCAAAGGATGATAGGATAGTCAGGTCTTCAGTGCTAGATTAGCAGTAAATGTAACACACCGTAAGGCGTTACGCTACGGAAAAGACTGCTCAGGGTCGCTTCAGCGACTCGGCGATCCTCTTGAGACCTAAGCCAACTTTGGATTTATTGACGGATAGAGAGATAATACCTCAAATGTCTAACTAGAAAATGCCGGCAGTTACTCAGGGTACGATATCACGATTTCTACACGATAGGTGAGACGACTCACCCCTAAGAATGATATTTTATATCCGTTGAGCTCCGGCCGCCCTCATTATATTTACAGTTAGAACTCTGCCCACCACTTTTGACGGATAGCCTCCATTTTAAGCTCTTTGGGGAATGGCTCAAGGAGCTTAGGAATTGAATTCTGCCACTCTGTTCTCGTCAGGCTACCAAGCCATCCGGACGATTCCCAGTCAACCAGACCAACAACCCGGTCTCCACGGAGCAGGATATTAAAAGTGGCATGGGTGAAAACTGGTGGTGCCCATGATTTATCCTGGGTGGTCATCATATCACAAACATCTTAGCGGTCCCGGTCGTTTTCTCGGTCTTCAGCCTCGGATAGCTTTACAGCGTCCCGAAGCCAAACATAAAAATCTTGGATCGTCTTAAATGGGCCGAAACAAGAACAGGAGCGTGGATTCCGAGAGTCACGTAATGATCCGCCGCTCCAGCTCTCGACTCTTGTCTGGGCTGGCGGTTTCAGCGAGCGCATCTTTTGGACCATATGCTTTAATTGTTCGAAGACTTTCTCACAAGACTCTTCGGATTGTTTCTTCCATACCGTTGGTATGTCATCACCATGGTTCCTTTCCATCATAATGTAGGCGCGATTCTTGTGGACGAAAGAGCAGTATACCTTGGAGTAGAAGTGTTCGCGATAAATTTTATGGTTGCCCTTTCAGTGAAGGGAACATACGGACCGGTCTTGACCATTATATTTCTTGAAATTAGCACACAAACGCCAATCCACATACAAATCTGGCCGTGATTTTCAATGCAAGAAGGACTACCGAACGACGGATGAAAGTGTTGTGGATGGCTAGATTTTCGTGCCTTTATGCTGGGTGCTCCCCTTATCGGCGATAGATAGACACTGAATATCTTCGGATGCCATAGGTGGCAAGATATGAGGAAATCTTCGCTTATGACTGATATTATTTATCGGGTATCCGACTAGTTTCGCAAGTGATACGCATGGGACGAAATCGGGCTTGAAGAAGTCGGATGAGGAGAGTACCGGCACCGTTTGAGGATGGAGGAGGATAGAATAAGCAGTGTCTTTGGGCGAGAGTGAGAAGTCACCGAGGATGGGTAGAGTGAATAAGGATCGTTGTAAAAGTGGACTGCTGGAAGCTTTTGTGGTTGTTGACAGAATTTCCTGCAAGCTAGAGAATATATTAGCCTTTCTTGGAGAGAATCATAGACAGTGGCTAAGCACGCAAAGAGCAAGAGATTGAGCAGAAAATGTCACGATAGCGATGGCGATGGTCGGTCACTCATCGCTGTCGAAGAATTTGACTCTGTTCAGATCACAGATGTTGGTTCAATGGAAAATATGATGGATTCTCATAGGACCATGGGGGTCTGTCTGACTATATTATACCGAGTACTGAGTACTCGTTCGGTAAATTACACAGGGGCTGGCAGTGCTACGAGGGTTAGTCCTGCCCATGGCTTGTCCGTGGCCGAAGAACTAGCGTGACGGTCTTTACATGTCTTGGCCTCCCTGCCGTCACAGCGGGCTAGATGCAGTGAGGCAGATTTTCCCGTTCTTCACATGCCAAGACATGTAAAGACGGTCACGACAGTCCTCCCTCGTCTGAAGACCTGCGGATATCGAGCTCCAACTTTTGCCTCTCAGCCTCTGCATGACATTCATGATTGCACCACTTTAATAGTTGGTGCGAGCATGCGGAACTGGTATTGCATCTCCTTGTTTTCAGATTGATTTAAATTGAATTCTCGGGTTCGGGCCGCCGCCAAACAGTGGTCAATCTATCTGATATGTACAACGACGCTGCTAGGCAATATTCGGGCGGCAGCGAGCGACTCATGGTCTCAGTCAAATTGACAGAAAGGAATGGCGAGTATAGTTGAGTTTGTGCAGACTTGGGCAGCGATACCGTGGTGTTGATACCTCGGGTGCTATTACCCAGCGTGTTCACTTCAAACTTCAACACTCCCCGATTCCAGCAATAATGGACCCTTATCATACCATTGTATGCTCCTCTGGCCTGCATATTGAGAAAAGCATGCCTTCATCACACTTTCTTCACATCCTCAACTTCTATAACACCAGCCTTCCCCATGATATCGACGCCGGCTGCCTCTTTCGTGCATATGTAAGACTTGAACCTTCGCGTGGGAACGCGCTGGAAAGGAGTCAGCCAACCTAAGCATCCCAAAAGAGATATTGAAGCATACATTGATAAACATTTCGTCAATTTCCTCCAAGGAACGGTCTTTCGTTTCAGGGAGGAAGAAAATGGCCAGGATGAATACGATAGTTGCAAGTGGGCCGAATATGAAACCGACTTTGGTCCCCAGATTGGCATAGTCCTTGTTGATCAAGTAGGGAATAGAGGTAATAACAAGGAGAGCCCCGAACCAGTTGGTAGAAAGAGCGCAAGAAACTGTCTTCGATCGGAGGCGGTTGGAAGGAACCTCACCGGTCACAATCGGACCAATTGAACCCCAGGTGGCCGCAAAGCTGAAGACGTAGATGCAGATAAATGCGACGATGCATTTGTTCGCCGCGTCACTGCCCGGAGCAGCTTGGGCGACGATGGCGAAGAGGAACATGGATGCAGCGCATACTCCCGCGCCAACAATGAGAAGAATGCGACGGCCGATGAATCGCACTGCAATGAAGGCGAAAATTACTGCCGCAACCTGGCAGGCGTTGATGATAACGGTGATGACGAAAGCATCGTTGAACCCGATTAGACTGAAGAAATATGTCGAATACCTGACAGGTCTGTCAGACTTCGAAAATACCAAAGCGAGTGGCAGAGCTTACCCAGAGATGAATGCAATACCCTGCATATGTTGACCTCCCATGCATAGCATACCGATGAGGGTTCGTCGTCGATTGGTGCCAGAGAAGCATTCACGGTACGATGTCGACGCGTCCAAAGACCTTTCAAGCTCTGTGAAGGCGATGACTTCTTTCATTTCTGCATCGAGCTCGTCATCCCGTGCGTACTTGCCACGGATTTTCACCAGGGACGTTCTTGCCTCGGAGTACTTGTCACGGGTCACAAGCCATCCTGAATTCACATAAGCACCCGCAGTCATTATACCGAGCAAGGTATCGTCACTTACTTGGGGATTCAGGGATGAACCACACAAGGGTTACCAGCACCAGAGGCGGAAACATGGTCACGAAGAGAGGGATGCGATAGCTCCACCGGTCAGTCCGCAGATACGTCCCTTGGTCAACACAGGCGCCGATAAAGTTGGGGAGGTTGATGTTAAATTGGTACATGATGACAATAAGGCCTCGAATCTGCGCAGGTGCAGTCTCGCTCCAGTAGGTGATTGCAAAGTTGCCTGCAAAGCCCATAGAAATTCCGATGAATACTTTGCCGACGATCAGAGCGCCATAGTGAGGTATCATACTAATGCCAGATCCGATGAGTCCGGCGGCGCCACAGAGGATGAGACCAATCTTCCGGCCAAATTGTGAGCCAATCCTGCCAGAGACCAGGGCTGCGAGAAAGGCGGATCCGCAGAGTGTTCCATTCATGGCGGTGGTAGAGCCAGCCGTGATACTGTAGACACCTTCTTCTGAGTCATAATAACCGAAGTCCTTGAGCCATCTATAAACCGGAGGCTGTCAGCGTATTGTAGCTCTGTAGATACTGTATCTGTACGTACTGTTGCATGGCAAGAAAACCTCCACCGGTGCCTTGGTCAAACCCGAATGCTGTCGCCGCAAAAGACGCAATGAAACAATAGACGCAGACCTTCCAATTTCTTT